AATACAAAAAAGGATATTGAAAGTGTGTGAGAAAGTTTTAAAGCTTTTGCATAAATAATCAAATATAAATTCATAAATAAGCTTTCGTCTAAAATAATAGGAAAGCTAAGAAAAAAAATCTTGGTATTTTTATAGTAGTTCACTCAACCTAAGATACATCCAATTACCTTAGAATTCAAAGGGTTCTACTAAATTGGAATCTTTTACAAGTATTATTTCATTACCACTTTTGGCTTATAGATGCAAATTACTTGTATGTAGTATCTTTTATTAGTATCTTCAAGCTTATAAGTTTCATGTTTATGACACCTTTCTTAACATGGTCCTTTATAAAATGATGTTTGATTTCAATATTCTCAACCCTATAAAGCATGATGAGATTCTTATATAAGCTAATGACAATAGTGTTATCACATCTTATAGGAATGTTTCTCTTGAAAATAATGTAGTCCTCATGTTGGTGTTTTATCCAAAGTAGTTGGGAGCAACAAGAGGCAGTTGAGACATACTTTACTTCGCAAGTAGAGAAAGCTATTAACCCTTGTCTTTTGCTCATCCAAGAGACCAAGTTTCCACCAATGAAGTGGCATCCACCATTGGTGATTTTGCATTCAATCTAGTTTTCAACATAGTCAACATCATAATAACCTACTAAAGAATAATCTTTAACTTTTTTTAAAAGCGAAGACTGAGATTCGTAGTTCCTTTTAAATATCTGAATATATGCTTAACTATTGTTAAATGTACCTCTATTAAGTCAGATTGAAATCTAGCGCATAGGCAAATATTGTACATGATGTTTGGTTTGGAGATGTGAGGTATAAGAGTGATCCACTGATCTTATCATCCCTCTATAGGTGGTTTGATCCACCTTCTTTGACTTTTTGTCCATGCTTAGCACTCATGATGGATGCATTGGAGTACTCATAGGCTTGGCATTGCCCATCTTGAACTTAAAAAGCTTTTTTGTGTACTTCATTTGATGAATGAATATGCCTTTATTATCTTGCTTAATCTACATCCCAAGGAAGAACTTGAGTTGTCACATTATACTTATCTCATACTCATCCCGCATCAACTTAGAAAACTTTTTACATATAGTTGTTTACAAGTATTCTTTCACTACCACTTCTAGCTTATAAATACAAACTACATGTTTGTAGTATTCTTTACTAGCCTCTTTAGGCTTACAAGGTTTGAAGGTAAAAAAAGGTGTTATGAGATAAATCTTACAAAGAAGAGATGTAAGTTTAGTACACTCAAGATGGTAATTTGCTAAAGCAAAGGTGTTCTAACTTAAGCTTAACTTCGTTTTCGTCTATTAGACGAGTGATAATGCATTTTGAGAAGAAACTTTATATGCATTTATTTGTCCTTTTTGACATTTGTATGTGTCTTATATTGGTGTTTTGACCTAGATTTATGATAGCGGTAAATTTTACACAATATTTTTTATCCACTTGAACACTCTGTCTTGTGCAACCCATAACTAGAGCTCCCAAACTTGGATTGAGACATTCTTGGTACCGTTGGAAACCTTAGAGAGAGTGTTATAACTTCTCTGTTAAAGTCCAAAACCAATTCAGATCGGGAGAGGTCCATAAAGGCAGTGCAAAATTGCGACCTAGTGTAGTTTTATTTTATTGTTTGTAGTTTAAACAATAATGACTTGTAATTAATATATTAGGACTTAATTAGTGGACCAGGCCTTGTTTAGTCAAACTTAGGCCCATTTAGTTGTCTATATGTAAGTATAATTACATTGAACTCGGACACTTTTACGTTCATTTTTTAGATTTGAGATTTCTTGCTCAATAAGCTTCTTTGATTTTCTCTTAACTCTCTTTTTTTCTTTCTCACAAATTCTTCTCTATTTTGATCGAGACTATTCATCTTCTCTCCGAACATATTTGTGCATGGAAAACAATGAAGATGCACAACTAAGTTCTCTTAATCGATTTATGTTTTCGATTATGCGGTAAAATCCTCTCAAATCCAAATTCCTTTTTTCTTTTCTTTTTTTTTCTTCAATTAATTTTGAATTAAATCATGATTATGGATTTCGTTTTTGATTAATTGATGAAAAAAATTAATTCAAATTAATTTTAAAACACCAAATTGGATTCAATTCGAATTGGAACATTACGAAACAAATTTGTCTTCATGGGATTTTCATAGAGCACAATTGTGTTCTTCATTCTTTAATTTGAATTAAATATTAAATACTAGAATTTAGATTATATTTTTTATACTGTAATAATCAAAACTTGAATCGATGTTTTATTCAATTAGATTTTAAAATTTGTGATTCTGTAGATTTTAAATTTCAGTTTATTGCACATAAAGTGTTTGTCAAAAATCTCCTAACTAACTTGCAAGTCAAGATTTGTGTTCTATGGTTTATGATTCTAGATTCTGATCTAGGTTCGCTATATTACAAAAATTTTAGGGGGGACTAGTTTTATTTGATAATGTTTGACATTGTTATCAACGAACAATACAAGACTTAGATAAAATAGATAAGAGATTTGGCATAACAAAGAGTGAGCTTATATTCACACGGTTTAAACGATTTTTCTCTTCTCTTCAACTCTTCTCGTATTTATAGGCTTCTAAAGAATGTATCAATTGTGTTGTGAGAGCCTTGTTCAATACCATTCCAACTTGGTATTTAATGCATGTTGAATATGGTCATTTGATCCATGCACTACAAGTTTCAAAGCATTAAAGTCTTCAATTGAAATAAGGCATGAAACAAAGTTGACTTTGTTGAATGCTTTTCTATTGGGACTAAAACATTCCCTTTATAGTTAACTTTCTTTTCTTGGATGTTGCATTGGGGTTGCTTTACTGTACCATTTTATGTGTATATACTAAAAGGAAATAATGCATATATACATTTATATCAATGACTATTTTGAACAATTATATGATTTGTTTTAATGCGCAAAGATGTTCAAACAAGCGTTGGACTTGTGTGCACTTATGGACATAGACACCGGTCTAATGCTTTGGACATTGGACACAAATGCTTACTAGGTGTTTGTTACTAGTGTTACACTTGTTAAATTTACATGTTTGATAGAAGCTATGTTATTTAATAATTTTTTTCATCACCAATTCTTCTATGTTTTTGATGAATGTTTCCTTTAATAACTTAGGCAAATCATAGACAAATCATAAGTCTATCAAGATCATAACTTTGTTATTATCAAATTTGGAGTGCTATACATTCTTAATTGTCTTTGGTTCAACAATCACTAACATCAACTTCTAGCTAATCCTCACCTACAAACGAGATTCAACCCAAAAATAAGCAAAAAAAAAAGCATAAGGGTGAGATACATGTTAATCATGTCCTAGTGCAAAATAAGGTTGGACAATTACAACATAATAATAAATAATCGCATATTAAATTATAGTCATGAGATATATCTATAAATATAATATTGTAGTGTCTCATGCTATAATGCACTATGCATGTGACGTCATATGACAACACAAGTTGCCGAAGGCTCATAGGATAACTTAAGAGTATATATTGGTAAGTAGAGCCACTCAACCTAAGGTGTCTATCACAAACACTTTTATTAGGGAGAAGATCCACTGAGATATATTAGGGTCATGTAATCTCCTAGATCTACTCAAGCTCATCATAGAGTGTGATTGAATTATTATACTATAACTTATTAAGTGTTAAAACTTATTCTTCATAAGAAAAAAAAAAAGCATTTGTAAAGCAATATATTAAGCAACACACCTAAAAAGCATGTTCCTTTACTAGTTCAATGATTTAAAAATGTGTTCAGAAATAACTTAAATATTGTGTTATATTTAATTTATATTTTTACTTATATTTTAAATGTTAAGAACCTATAAAATGATATTTTATCTTATTGTTATAAAATTATAAAATTATATTTATTTAATATTTTATGTATTATTTATCATAATTATTTAGTTAATTTTTATTTGGTAATTTAATCACGATAGAATTATTAAACCTTAAATAAGTACTTTGATTGATTTAATCAATGGTTAATTCCAAAAACACAACTAATGAGTGAAAAAAGAAAAATTAAATAAAACAATCAAAGTTTATCCTATACAAAATAGAATTAAAAAAAACTTTAACAAGTATTATAAAATTATATATATATATATATATATATAGAGAGAGAGAGAGAGAGAGAGGATGAATCTGTTTACTCAAGAACTAAGTTTACCTAGACTTACTCTGTTCAATAACTCATGTTCTACATCAAATTTCAACGATCCAACCGTTGAATTTAAAGTTCTTAATGCATAGATCAAATTTGTAAATTTAAAAGAAAAATCAAAATCATTTGATAGTTTCTTTAATTCAAATCAATGTATAAAATGATTTTATGATTATTCGTCAATTTGAATTAATGAAATGAAGTATGAAATGATTTTTAAATTTTAAAAAAATTTGTAGACTTGGTCTATGCATTAAAAACTTTAAATTCAAAGATTGGGTAGTTGAAATTTGACATAGAACATGAGTTATTGAACGGAATAAGTCTAAATATAAATACTACAAATTTAGAAAAATTTACTTAAAATAAAATAAAATTACTACAAATTACTATTAAAAAAACTATTTATTGAATTGGTCTAAATAATGTGTCAAACAAACGATATTTATTGAATTGGTCTAAATAATGTGTCAAACAAACGACATTGAAAGAGATATTTTTAATACAATCAAGGTTATTAGTTTCCAACGAAATTCCTAATTATTCTTACCAATATTATGATTATAAAAAAAAAGACTTCCATGAAATAAATAATAAATAATTAATAATAAAAGCTAAAAAAAAAAATTAGCTGCAATAGCGCGTGTCTAATATGGTATAGTCCTAATGGGACGAGTTTATTAAAATTAGGCATTACCAAAAGCAGCATATGACAAAAAATTGGGCATTATCCTCGTGCAAAATCGAAAACACCTTACTCTACATCTGCCAGTCATGTTAAACCAAACTCATGTCGTTTCACCAGACGGGAGTTGTTGATACTTCCCTCGCGACTCGAAGGCTTTTAGGTTTGTTGCCATTTGCAGCACACAACCGAACCGTCAATTATTGGCTTCGCAGGAAAAGTCCAAAACCACAGTGACAGCGAGTGAGGTCATTTCATTCATGCCTTCACTCATTCGCTCACTCACTCCCACACCGCCCCAGCACCACACGTTACATGTTTTAAAAAAGACCAAACCCTTCATAAATCAATCATAATTCTCTGACTCATGGACCAAATTAACTAAGCACCAACGTGACCTTTCCAATCTCGCACCGCAAGCGACAACACTCCTCACAGCCCAGCACAGCACGTTAAAAATCGAAACCCTCTTTGGGACATTTTTACGAACACCTTCCAGTAAGAGTTTGTTACTTTTTTTTTTTCTCAAGTGTGAGGATGAGTTTCAGGGAAGAGAGCGGAGATGCGAGGGATCTTCAGAAGCCCTTCCTCCACACCGGAAGTTGGTACAAGATGGGTTCACGGCAGTCCAGTATCATGGGATCCTCCACTCAGGTTATCCGCGACGGCGCCGTTTCGGTCCTCTTCTGCGTTCTCATCGTCGCCTTGGGGCCAATTCAATTCGGCTTCACGGTAAGAATTGCACTTCAGAGAATAGAATGTACCAACATCAATGATTTGGAGTTTTCTCTGCATGTACTTGATTTTATCATAATAGTTGGATTTATCTTGCAGAAGACAATTCTCTTTCGTTTAAATGAGTTAGATAAATTCCCAACTTAACCACTAGTATTAAATTTGTTTAGTAATCTTATCTAATTCTGGGAGGATTATATGTCTTTGGTTTCTACCAAAGAAAAAAAAAGGAGTAAGGAGTAGGATAATATCCTGAGAATTTAGATTTAGTTGAGCTCAAATGGCGTGTGATTCATGAAGTACACCTAGTCTTGTGGATAAGATTTTGTTATTGTGTGTTATTATTGGTAAAGGAGTCGGATGAAGAAAAAAGGCTTTTTTTATTATTATTTTTTAATTATTTTGAAACTTTTTTGGGCGCAGTGTGGGTATTCTTCTCCGACGCAAGAGGCAATTGTCCGTGATCTAAAGCTCTCGGTTTCGGAGGTTTGATATATACGTGTATATATTCTTTGGTTTTGTGATTTTTCATGGTTTAAGGTATTGGTACTTAATATGTTGGGTTGGTTTGCAGTTCTCTTTGTTTGGATCTTTGTCGAATGTGGGAGCGATGGTGGGAGCTATAGCTAGTGGTCAGATAGCTGAATATGTTGGGCGCAAAGGGGTATTTGATTTTATTTTATTTTTATATATTTGTGGTGTTGGTTTTGAAGTCAGTCTTTTAAAGGAAGATCTATGAATGTGAAAAGTGATTGGTGATTTTTGGCGTGTTTTTTGAATGTTGCAGTCCTTGATGATTGCTTCGATTCCCAATATTATAGGGTGGCTTGCTATTTCTTTCGCCAAAGTAAGTATGAATGGTTTGCTTTTGATACTGAGACTGGCTCGTTTAACATGTGAAAATCAGTGATGTGTTGTTGCTTTGTTAGGACTCCTCATTTTTGTTTATGGGGAGGTTGTTGGAAGGTTTTGGCGTTGGGATTATCTCTTACGTGGTAAATTTGATCGCCTTTTTCTGTACTTTTTATTGGTTTGGCTTATTGGTAAGAATGCTGAGCGAAAGTGGCCTGTGGATGGGTTCTCTTGTTTTGTTTAGGTGCCTGTTTATATAGCTGAGATTGCACCTCAGAACTTGAGAGGTGGCCTTGGATCAGTCAATCAGGTTGAAATCTTATTGTTGCTTCTTGATGCGAGTTTTGTCTTTTCACTAATTTTGTTTTCTGTTGTATTTGAAACTTTTTATTTATTATTTTTGTAATTTTCCTTGCTCAGCTCTCTGTTACTATTGGCATTTTGCTGGCTTATCTGTTGGGCCTTTTTGTCAACTGGAGAGTGCTTGCAATTCTAGGTAAATTTCTCATTATTTACTTGACTCAGTTTTTGTGGTTGGATGAATGGAACACTTAAAAAACCTTTGTCATAACTTAGTTTCATTAAATTTTTACAGAAATGGAAACAAGGAATATGTGTGTACAGGGGAGGAGCCACATTTATAAAATAATATATGGTTGGGGATAGAAAGCACGAATATGACTCAGGGGTTTTAAGAAACACAACACAACTATAATACAACATATAAATTAGCATAGAATACAAATTTGAAATCAAAAGAGGGAATCCAAGTTTATAACTGAGCACGAGTTATTGCTGACATAATAAAATGTTATAATTTATCTAATTTTGGTGATATTTATTATAATTCCTATGGATCATTGTAATTCCTGTGAATCAAAAAATTATTAGCATAATATTTTATAATAAATAAAAGTAAAAAAATTATAACATGCACTTAGGAGTATTCAAAGTGTCTAACGTGTCCAACATGGGTATGACACAAACATGACAACTGTTTTGAAGTTTCTATGCTTCATGGTATTCTTAAAAGCAACGGAAGGCTTAACAATGTTGGGAAAATCGATTCAAATTTCCAAATATTAATTCCAATGAAGGAACTCAAGATGTAATAAATTGAGACGAGAAAAAATTGTGACTATTAGTATGAGTGAGATAATTTACAAGGGAGGTGACTCTTTGGAATTGTGAGAAGCAATTAATCGGGGCTTATTCAAGGAGTCTTTAGAAGTCATTCACCACATTATAAATAAAAGTTTCTTGAGATGAGAAGAAACATCTAATGTGCAGAGGGAGAGGGTCATGTATCTATCCATGTATTAGAGATATGAGTCTGAGAGTGGTTATGGGGTCTCTTGTGAGTGAGAGTGCTTATCATTTCTTGTAACTGTTGAGTGAAAGACTCAAGTTTGTAGAGTGATACACTATTTGGGAAGAGTTTCTCAAATTTATCTAGAAAACTTGTAATGAGAGGATTTTCTCAACTTTGTCCAAAAAACTTTAATGGGGAAGTTTGTTCAGAAAACTTGTAATCTTATGTGAGATAGTGAATATTTGTTGAGATGTTTTCATGGAAGCAAGAAAGAGATGTTGAACTACATTAAATTCATATCTTTTGCTATTTCTATACATGGTATTGTTTTATGTGTATTCTATCACTTGATCTTTGTGTTCTGGAGATCTTTACCCATAATAAATAGTGGTTTGATCTTTCCAAACATTAGTGTTTAGACTGTAGAGCATATTGTTACTTGGTTTCTTCAACCAAAATAATATTAAATATTTTATGTTCTGCTGCAGGAATTTTGCCCTGTACAGTATTAATACCTGGATTATTTTTCATACCAGAATCCCCCAGATGGTTGGTATGGGTTTGTTATGCATTATGCTGTCATTTTTTTTTTTTGAACATTTCATCTCGGTTAAAATAGTTGTTCCTTCTAGAAGAAAAGGAGGGTAAGACATTATACTCTTGCTAATTATCTTTCTGCTTCTCTTCATTTTATTTTGTTTTCCTGGGTTGGTGGGGGAAATTGGGGAAGTATAGGCCAAGATGGGGATGACAGATGAGTTTGAGACTTCTTTGCAAGTGTTGCGAGGATTTGACACAGATATATCAGTTGAAGTACATGAAATTAAGGTATATTTTTTTTGGCTCATTGTTGTGTGCAAGGATGGATCCCTAACACTATAAAAGGAAGGGCGAGGGAGATTTTTTTTTTTTATAATAGAGTTAAATAAATATTAAATCATAATTATTAAATATATCAAGCCATTTATCTAACTTGTGAATATCATTTTTTAATAATAAAATTCATCAATAATATAAAATATGTATTAATTTTTTTATCAATCTCTTAATATAATCATATACTTATAATAAATATCTTCTGTCATAAAATATTTTTCCAAAGTGTCTATAGGATGCAAGGCCCTTGGTTGCCCCCCTTAATCCGCCCCTGGTTGTGTGGCTGGCTAATTTTTGCCCCTCCTAAATGCGTGACAGTATGCATATTCATACGAGGTGCATTTAAAGAGCATAGCTTTAGAATGTCTATTTCAGAAACCTGCACTCCTAACCATTTTAATTTTCTAGAGATCTGTGGCTTCAACTGGAAAAAGAGCTGCAATCCGATTTGCTGATCTCCAGAGGAAAAGATATTGGTTTCCTTTAATGGTAATATGATGCTGTATAACTTCTCATTTTTTAAACCCTCTCTTACCAAGCAGGACTTATTGTCATTTATCCAAAAGGTCAAGCATTCTTTGCTAACTGAGCTCCTGCAGGTTGGTATTGGATTACTTGTCTTTCAGCAATTATCTGGTATCAATGGAGTTTTATTCTATTCAACTACCATCTTTGCAAATGCAGGTTTAGATCTACATATCATCTGTTAAATTAAATTTCATTATAGTTGATAATTTTATTATTGTTTTGATTCGGGAGGACGTGGGAAGATGAGAGGCGGGTGATTTGGTGTTAAGTAATTTGCAGGGTTAAGGGAGTTTTAAATCCTTTAAATGCTCAAAATTCCGGTTCATGAAGTATAACGTGTATATATATATATATATATATATATAGATAGATAGATAGAGACCGAGAGAGAGAGAGAGGAGAGATATACTTACTTTAAGAGTAAGTTTACTTAGACTTACTCTATTCTATAACTCATATTCCACATCAAATTTCAACGATCCAACCGTTGAATTAAAAATTCTTGATGCATAAATCAAGTTTGTAAAGATTTTAAAAAATTGAAAATTATATGATATTTTGTTTCATTAATTCAAATTAACATATAAAATGCTTTTATAATTATCCGTTAATTTGAATTAATTATTTACACGTAGTATTAAATAATTTTCAATTTTTTTAAAACTTTGTAGACTTGATTTATGTATTAAGAAATTTTAATTTAATGATTAGATCATTAAAACTTGATGTAAAACATGAATTATAGAGAAGAGTAAGTCTTAGTAGACTTACTTTTGAAGTAATTAAATCCCTTCTCATACATCCATATATATATATATATAAATATATATATATATATATATATATTTATATATATATATATATGGATGTATGAGAAGGGATTTAATTACTTCAAAAGTAAGTCTACTAAGACTTACTCTTCTCTATAATTCATGTTTTACATCAAGTTTTAATGATCTAATCATTAAATTAAAATTTCTTAATACATAAATCAAGTCTACAAAGTTTTAAAAAAATTGAAAATTATTTAATACTACGTGTAAATAATTAATTCAAATTAACGGATAATTATAAAAGCATTTTATATGTTAATTTGAATTAATGAAACAAAATATCATATAATTTTCAATTTTTTAAAATCTTTACAAACTTGATTTATGCATCAAGAATTTTTAATTCAACGGTTGGATCGTTGAAATTTGATGTGGAATATGAGTTATAGAATAGAGTAAGTCTAAGTAAACTTATTATACCTTTAAAAACATTTTGTATAATACAAATTTATCCGATCTAATTGTAGAATTATGTTATATTATATTCAAGATCATATATATAAAATTTCACATGATTCCAAAATTAGATATAAGATTTGGTGTAAGTGTTTAAATTTACACTTGTGTTAAAGGATCCTGACTTTATATATATATATATTATTTTTTCTTTTTTGGTTTGGGTTTCAGCACCTGGTAACAGAAACTGATTTGTGATTTTGGATGACAGTTATAATACCTCGAGGATTTGAGTTGCACCTGATCTGTGTTTGACTTCTGTATTTTACAGGAATTTCATCTAGCAATGTTGCTACAGTGGGACTAGGAGCCATTCAGGTTTCACAATAAAGCCTAGACTACGTATCATGTTATATGTGATATGAAGATAATGAATTCAGTTCTTGTAATCAGCTTCCTTTTTCAGGTCATAGCAACTGGAATTGCCACATGGTTGGTGGACAAAAGTGGCCGGAGGTTGCTTCTAATTGTGAGTATGAAGCAAAATTCTTTACTCCACAACCATTTTCGAATATCTATTATACTAAAAGATGAAATATGAAATTTAATAAAAATTGAGATCTGTTGTCACTTTGCAGATATCCTCATCTATAATGACAGTTAGCCTTCTCATTGTTTCAGTAGCATTCTATCTGGAGGTTGGTAATAGTAATGGTAATATCTTAATTGAATTTCAGAAGATTAGCCATGCTTTTAACTTGTTTATATTGATTGATGTCAGGGGGTAGTGTCAGAGGATTCACATCTATACAGCATTATGGGAATACTTTCTGTTGTTGGACTTGTGGTATGTTATATGGGCTGGGTCAGAATTTCTTCTCTTTTCAACTTGTAATTGTATATTTTTAGCATTTGTTAGTTTGATCAACGGTTTTTGTAGGTTATGGTGATTGGATTCTCTCTAGGACTTGGACCCATCCCTTGGCTTATAATGTCTGAGGTATAAATAATTTCTGTATTCAGTACAAATAATCTGAAGGAGGAAGAAGTATCTTGTAATTGTTGCATTTACTAGTTAGACGATGCCTACAGGTTTCCTCATTTTTATTTTTTATTTTTGGTTCCAAAGGCACCGTGCCACTTTTGGATTTTGAATCTGGTTGCTGAACTTGAGTTAATTGTGTTCATTATATGAGTAATTACTCACTTGTTAAATAATGTTTTTCAGATACTTCCAGTGAATATAAAGGGCCTTGCTGGCAGTATAGCGACAATGGGAAATTGGCTGATTTCTTGGGTGGTTACGATGACCGCCAACTTGCTTTTGAATTGGAGCAGTGGAGGTGAGTGTGTAAAATGCTTGTCTTGTGTTATACGCTTGTCAATATAATATAATGCTGATTTGTCTGTCTTCAGGAACATTTACAATCTACACAGTAGTAGCTGCCTTTAGTGTTGCTTTTGTATCTTTATGGGTCCCTGAGACCAAGGGAAGAACATTGGAAGAAATTCAGTTTTCCTTCCGATAGATATGTTTTGGGAGAGCACACAGGTAGTCTACCATGTTTAAACTAAAATGATGAGTCCAATATCATGTGTTTTATAGTCCTTTGTTTTATCGTGTATCAAATTTTCTGTAACAAATGAAGTGGAGAAAAATCAGTGCATGTGCATCGTGTTGTTTTTTTTGTACAAACTACGGATATAATTATTCTTTTTAAGAATATTTTGTCGCAAAGGAATGAGAAAAATAAAATAAAATCTAGTCATAGTGTAGCTGTTTTAATCGAGTTTGTTTTCCAGTGTACCAGAAAAAAATCGAGTTTATTTCTATCATGAATTATATTCTGCTTGAGGTTGAGGTACCTGTTGTTTAAACATGGTGTCACCAAGTAAAGCAGTTAGTTACACATTGATGACTTGAATTATTGCCTCACATTCAAGATGCTGTACTGATTTTGGCTGATTCTCCAACGGGCGGGTAGCCAATTTAAGGAATAAAGTGATTGTAGTGGTATTCAACAATAACTGCAACAACAACCAGAAGTACTATGTTTGGGCTATTTATTATGGTATTTATTGTATTGTGGAACATTGATGTTGAAATGCGGAGGTGCAATCCATAGGTTTCATACAGTTTGGATAAATTTTGATTAATCTTAATGGAATTAAATAAATTTGTTTAAAAGCATAAAATTCTCTTGATGCTAAAATTTTAATATATAAAATTCAAACTTGTTGAAAGTTGAAACCTTACTATAAGAAAATTAGTTTTTAAGGGAAATTTTACAAAAGCAAAACCGAATGCAACGCCAGAAATCCTTTTCATTCATTAATCAATCATAATGCCCTTAATGATAGACCAGTTAGGCAAAATCATCGCAGTTCAGCACAACATAGCTCCGTACCGTTCGAAATGAAACCTCAATTGTAGTATTTCACGTGGCATTACAAAAGACAAGACCGCAAGAGTATATTGCGTAATTGCAACTTTTTTTGTTTGCTTTTATTTTACCTGTCCCATAATGATTGTATTTTGAGGTATTTACAATTATAATAAATATATTTAGTTTTTATTAAAATAATTTTACCCTCTCAATAGATACACTACTTTTAATAGTGGGTGTTGAATAGTTAATGAAGAAATGAATTAGAAAAAAATATAATATTAAAAAATGAGAATATTAATAATTATTTTGAGGCAATTTTCAAGTACTAAAACTGTTAATTTAGATAGAAGGGAGTATCATTTTGTGCTTTTAACTTTTAAGATGGCTATTTAGATACCCTAAACTTGCATACAAAGTTGGGTCATGTGAGTATGATGCGGTGCAAATCTAGTTATTTTGTATTTACCCATGTGCATGCAATAATGGGTCTCGCGTTAATAAATTTCCTTTCGAAATTATTTTAAATTTAAAGTTAAATTCGAGATTGATGACCCTTTATTTTATTGTTATTGATTTTCAGTTAAAATAATTTTAAAAATTAAAATATTTTTTTTAAACGTGACCATTGTTATTTAATTACCAACTTTCATTTTATTAATGTCTTTGAATTATTTAAATTATCTTGCTTTTTTAAATGATTTTCACAATAGTTGAAAGGGGTCGTAGTTAGCAATTTTTGTAATACTAATTTTATTTCCTGTCTATTTTTAGTTTTTTCCTTCATATATATTTCATTCCCGATGCATGAGTGACTTCTTAACCTTGAACGCGCATAAAATTAAAAGGATTTTATTTTTACTCGCATGTTATTTGGGAAAAAGAACAAAATATTTATTTAAGGCTTAAAAATAATTTTAATTCATATGAAATGGATAAGTTTTAATTTTAATTTTTATAATTTTTTTTCTTGTTTTTAACCTCTAAAATTTAGAAATATTATTTTTAGTCCTATTATTATGTAATTATTTTTAACTACTTATTTTTTTTATTAAAGAATTAAGTGATCATATCATGTGTTAGTTACAATTGTCAATCATATTATATTACCGTGTGATACCTCTAAGATATTTTTATAGATGCTTAATATTAATATTATTAATCTACCTTAAAATTATTGTTAGGGATCAAAAATAATGATTTTAGATTTTATAAAACTAAAATCAAAGAAAAATATTTTATCTAGACCAAAACCAAAATTTCCTCAAAATAAAAATATTTTACAAGACTAAAAGCAATGTTTATAAAAATAAATGCATTTTTTCGTATGTATTTTGCTTTCACTTTAATTTGATAATATCCTGATCTTAAATCTATCTTAAAGAATACAACTACTCCTCTCAATTGATCTATCAGGTCATCTATCCTAGGAAGAGGGTATTTATTTTTTTATATTGAACCTATTTAATTGACGATAGTCCACAACAACCTAAAACTTCTATCTTTCTTTTTAACTAACAAAATAGGAGCCTCCCAAGATGATACTTTAGGGCGTATGAATTTTTTTTCAAGCAACTCTTTCAATTATTTCTTTAGCTCGGTTAGTTCAGAAGGTGACATCCTATAAGACACCATTGAAATTGGTCCAGTTCCAGGCATCAAATTAATTAAAAAACTAATCTCTCTATCAGGTGACAAACCAAGAATATCATTAGAAAAAACTTCAGGAAAATTTTGAACAATTGCTATACTTTTCAAAACAACTTCCTCTTTTTCTTCCATAGAAGATAATAATAAATATCCTTGAACTTTACTCCATGAAAACTTGTTTATTAGATTGGATAATGAAATTGATAGGTCCTTATAATTAGAAAACATTACAAACTTTTTTGCATAATTGAGAAGGACATGATTGGAAGATAACCAGTCCATACCCAAAATCGCATCTAATTGTGATAAAGGTAGACAGATCAAATTTACAAGAAATTTTCTATCACCAATGCAAAGAGGACCATCTAAATAGACTTTATTGGCAATCACATATTTATTTGTAAGAGTTGAAACAATTAGATTAGTCTCTAAGGAAGAAACTGACAATTAAAGGTGTTGAACACAATCATTAGAGACGAAAGAATGACTTGTGCCTGAATCATACAACACATTCAAAGTTTTACCTTTAATGAAACATGTACCATGTATTAGATCATTGTTTAGAGTAGCTTCAGTTCCAGTCATAGTGTAAACTCTCTCGGTTGTAGTAGGCCTTAGCTTTGGTGCAGAAGAATTGGAATGTGTTTTTAGTTGTCTACATTCAGCTAACACATGACCAGGTTTCCCACACTTGAAATAGACAGATCCTTTGAGATGACAATCCTTAACATAATGTCCTTGTTTACACTTAAGACACCTAATCTGATTATTTACAGGTTTGTTGGAATTTCCTAAGAGAATTTGAGAAGTTTGAGGTTTCCATTGGAGACGATTATAGGACTTTCCTTCATTATTTTTTTGTTTTGTTTTTAAACTGAGGGCCAAAAGATTTTGGTTTATTATCCTTGTTATGCTCAAAACCTTCTAGGAAGCGACACTTATGAATTAGTGTAGGAAAATCAGAAATCTCTAATATCTCTACTTCCTTTCTTAATTCAGGCATATGTCCATCCTCAAATTTAATATACTTCATTTTTCATCAAGGTGATAAAAGAAAGCGAAGTATTTTTCCAACTCTTCAAACTTAGAAGCATATTCTCCTACTATCATATTGTCTTATTTTAATTGCATAAATTATATTTCTTTAGCTCTTTTAACATCATTAGAAAAATATTTTTCAAAAAAATTAGTTCTAAATACTCTCCATGTAATGATTATTCCTCCTCTTTCTAATAACCTTCTAGTACTATCCCATCAATATTCAATTTCTCCTACTGACATAAACATAACATAATTTACCTTTTGGTTATCATGACAATTCATGGCTTGAAATATCTTTTCTAATTCCTTAATCCATAGTTCAACTTTTTCGGGATTGTAACCTTTGTCAAATTGAGGGTTTGTTTCCCTTAACTTCAATTAAACCTTGTGACTCAACAGTTCCTTCAGGTCTTTGGTTTCTTAACAAAACTACAACCATGTCCTTAATAGCTTGTACAACCTCTGTTAACTTAGTATTTCTTCTTCCTGCCATATGAAATTATACAAGTTAAAGCTTAGTATATTAGAAACATGGTTAACTCATTTCCCAAGGTCATACTTGAAACGTCACTCTGATACCATTTAATTGCAACACCTTTCTCATAATTCTCAACCTAATTATTTAATATTTATTTCATAAAATAACCTAATTAATTATCTTAATTATAGGATTCACTTTTCTAAAATAATGATTTTTTTTATAAAAAAAATAATACAGTTAACAAGTTATTCATTGAGCAATACTTATATACCTATTATAGAATTTAAAATTTTCTGTACAAATTCTATTATTCTTATCATTTATAATTAAAATTTTGAAGCATTACCAGGTAAAGAAACCACACCATAGTTAAATTTATTCACACAAAAAGTGATTTTGGTACATCAAAACTATATATAACTGATATGGCATCTAGATGAAGGAAAAAGTCTTATTTTAATACAAATTTTCCTTCTTACTTATACTAACGCATTCACATCCCAAGTTGATATATATAGATTACTATAGGATTGACATGGTTAGTAGGGGGTAGTAGTATGTGACCACCATGGGACCATCAATATATATCAGAGTTTGTTGATTTGGTGAAAATATGAACGAAGATAACTCAATGCCTTGGAACATCTCTGAATTTCCAATAGCATTAACAATCCAACTGATACTAGAAAATACAATCGAAGTAACTGTAGTGAAAGGTTCAGATATAGCTAGTAGATCCATCTCTTTAAGATTTTAAAAGATACGTACATATATTAAGAACAAGAAAACAAGAAACACAAAAGAAAGGAGACCGAACATTTATGAAATAATAAAATTAATTAATTTTAAATATATATATATATATATATATATATATATATATAAATATTTGCATATCATTATTAATAAAAAATTTAAATTTTTACTCCATGGAGAGATTTGAATTATTTTTGTTGTGACTAGTCAGGATAAATGAACTTAATCATAGTACCAAATAATACAAGGATATTTCATCTTAAATATTTACTCATTTAAATCCTCAAGGTTAAGCCTTCAATTATAAATTAATTCGAGTCCATTGATAATTTATTATTATAAGAAATTAAAATTTACACTTACTACTATTTAAAGGTATATATATATGTATATAATGAATTAAATAATAGTAACTAGATAATAAAATTAAAAATATATTTAAACTAAATAAATGGTAGTTAAAATTAATAGGAAATAATTAAACAAAATTAATTAATTATAGACACCTCATTAATTAATTAAAATTAAAATTAACATATATTGAATAAGTAAGATGAGCTTAGAGACACCTCACCAAATAAATATAAATAAGAATGACTTAAAATAGATAATTAAAATAATATAAAAATTAAAAAAGATAAAAGTCTCATTCTCCATACCTTAATAGAAGAGTGAAACTATTTAGAGAAAAACCAAGTAAAAGAAATTTTCCCACTTTTCTTCCTCTTGCTCTTTCTCTTTCTTCTTTCTTAATTTTCCTTCTCACGTTTTCTTATCTGAAGGCCTTCCCCCATCATGTCTATTTATAGACAATTTGTAATGATTGCTAAATTTTTTTTTCTAACTTTTAGTTAAAATTGAATAACATGTCATTACATATAGATAATCTTATTATTTCTTAGAGATAGGGGTTCGTACCACTACAGATTTATCTGCTGTAGTTTTTTTTTTTTAAATTCAAAATAATTTTATTACTTATATTTTATATTATTAAACATTTAAGATTTAACAATTTAAATATTTCATAATAATAATGTAATTAAATATTACTCTGAAAAATATTATAAATAGAATTTTTAGAATTTTTTTATGATTAAATATTATATATTTTCATTTTAGTTTACCGGAATATTGTAATAGAACCTTTAAAGTATTACAATTATATAAAAATATTATACTTAATCTCTATTTATTTTAAAATATGAAAAATAGAAATTTAGATTATTATTTTAAGAAAAAAATAATAATAATAAAATTAGGAATGTTAAAATTATATAATATTATAATTAAACATTGTATTAAAAATTTGGAATGTTACATAAAACTATAATTAATTTGGGATGGAGGAAGTATATCATATGCTCTTCTAAATCTGTATGTAACAAAAAAAAAAAAATTCATACAAAATAACGAAAGTAGTTAAAAATATTTAATTTTTGTAATTTCATATAAAATATAAACTACATTTACTAAAATATCTTTAATCACATTTAGTATAGATAGTTCTTATTTATTATCATAGAAATGTTTTCTGATTAAACCATTAAATAAAGTTCATCTTGATTAAAATTTGTTTATATTTGAGTTGAAAAATTTTAACCATTTTTACTTATATGTAAATATTGAGGGAGTACCATCTTTTTTAAAGACCATGGTATACCATTTATAACAAGGTTTAAAATAGGACAATCGTGGTCAAATTTCCTTTTCTATATGGCTTTATCCTATTCAGATAATCCCAACCACATTGCAGGATCTTGATTTAATAATAATAAGAACGATACATGGTATGCATCTTAAACAGGGTGAGACATGGTCGATCGCCACATTTCTCTCGTATCCAAATGACGTGGACAAGTCTAAAAGACCTTATAACATGTAACCTAGGTTCACTTATAAGTTTCTTAGATCTTGTTCCTCTTCAATTTTTACAATCTCGTACAATTTTTCAAATCAATTAAGTTAGTGTGTTCTAAAGAAACCTTAGAAATTTGAGTACAACGCTATGCCTTTGGGGGAGGACTACGACTACGAGGATGCTAGGAACCTTAGGAAGCCTTTCGTCACCAACAACGTTGGAAATGGCAATTTATTTGTTGTGCTATGCGTCCTCGTCGTGGCTTTGGGTCCTATCCAATTCGGTTTCACGGTGTTTACATTATACATCTATAATTTCACACTTTCCCTTTGAGCCTTCTTTGAATATATTTTGATTTTTTTGTTTTCTTGGTTTTGCTTTGCCTTGTTTATGTTTGTTTATTCAGTGTGGCTATTCTTCTCCAACACAAGCTGATATGATTCGAGATCTTAATCTCTCGATTTCAAGGGTATTTAATATTGATTAGATTGAGGGCCTTCAATTTTGAAGAAATTTTTGAATCTGATTACTAATGTGTTGAATATGTTGTTGAGACAGTTTTCACTTTTTGGATCTTTATCCAACGTTGGTGCAATGGTGGGAGCTACGGTCAGTGGCCAAATAGCGGAATACTTTGGACGTAAAGGGGTATTATGCTATTATTACTTACTTCGTTTTGTTTTGTTCCACCAAAATTTTCTTGTCTTCTCTCCACCACGGATCATCTTTGAAAATATATAAAATAAAATGTCAATCACTTATGTGTTTAATAGTAACAATTAGTGATTTTGTTAAAAATTGGATTATGAAAAGGGCTATTTGTAGATTGCATTAAATTAAATATTAATAGATTAGGGAAGTGATTAAAGAAAAAATAATTATCATCATGTTAATGATCACAGAGTAAAAGTTGTTGTAAATATCAATCTTTCAAGAGCATGACAATGTTAGAAATCTCACATTAAATAAAATATAAAATTTGATAAGATACTTAAATTTTGAGATTTTTTTATCTAATGAACTAATCAACAAACTCAATGATGATCTTAATACATTTAGTGTCAACAAAACACTAATTAAAAATGCAACATATTTATTTGTATAAAACACAATTTCACATATAATTTTATTATAACTTTCAATAAATTTTTTTTTATATATTAATTCTTTAGTTAATCAATGCTATTGGAGCACGAATTATCCAAATCCAAATTATAATCAATCATTCACTTTAAAAAGTATTTTGTAAGGTAAAGACTATTATATATATATATATATATATATATATATATTTATATTTATCTTACTATATTAAAATGTGAGTTTAAATATAACTCAAATTTATATAACTAATTTTCAAAGTGAAAATTATTATTCCCTTATATATACTTTATACTAATCTCATTCATTGATACAACATCTCTACATTTACTTCATTTTTCTTTATTTGTCTTTTCCTTTTTTATCATGTCACTAATCATATATGTTACATTCTCCCTTTTACTTTTTTCCCCATCTATATCTCTTTCATCTATCTATCCCAATCTACCACATTTAGCGGTGAATGTTCATCCCAACTCATGTGATCTTGAGTTCAATATTAATTAAATATATTCTCTTTTTAAGTTATAATTATTAGATAACCATAATTAAACATGTGATTAAAGATGTCATCTTTAGATCCACATATATGGTAAACATCTATTAAGAGATATGAATTTCGGCTTAAATATATTTTTAGTCCCTCAAATTTAAGATAAATCTATTTTTGGTTCCTCAAATTTTAAATTATTATTTTTAGTCCTGTAATTTCAAAAAATATTATTTTAGTTCTTATATTCAAATTTTGTTAAGAAATTTATCAAACATTATTACATAAAATCTACTTATTGGTGTCTCTATTAGTGAAAATATCACATTTAATCTGGTTGATATTGCATAACTGTTTTAATTAGTCACTTTCAAATATGTTATTGGTGACCTAAGGGACTAAAATAAGATTTTTAAAAATTACAGGGACTAAAAATAATAATTTTAAATTTGAGAGACAAAAAATAAATTTATCTTAAATTTGAAGTACTAAAAAAATATTTAAGCATGTGAATTTCTTAATATACTTTGAATGTTAAATCTCGCCCTGCTGGAAATATTCTAGCTTCCCCCAAAAGGTTAAGACTTGAGAGCACCTTTAGACTAGGGGAAAAGATGGTAACAAAAAGAAAATATTGGAATTTCAATTTTGAAATTTATTATTTTTGCATGCTGTATTGCAGTCACTAATAGTTGCAGCAGTCCCAAATATATTTGGATGGCTAGCCATTTCTGTAGCGAAAGTAAGTATTAAAATGTGTAATTTCTTTCCATTAATTATATTGATGTTTCTTTCAAACTAGTTTTTTAATTACTTAATAATGACATATTAATTATATTGTTTACGAGTTTTCTATAGGACTCATCGCTATTGTTTATGGGAAGATTGATGGAAGGTTTTGGCGTGGGAATAATCTCTTATGTGGTAATCCTGACTTCTGATGGCTCTTTGTTGATTTCTTGATTAATAAATATAGGAATAAGCTCCAAATTGAGGTATTGGCTACTTTATATAAAAATTGAGCTGTTAGGCTAATTGTTCAGAATTTCATTCTCGAAAAATATTTAAAAAAAATTATATTATTTAGTCTATATAATATAAAATTTATATGATTAAATTATTAAAATTTATTGAAAAAAGTAAAATAAATAAGAACAGTTAATTAATAATTATATTTTTCACTAGTTAATAAACTATTAATAATTTTAGAAAAATAAATCAAGAATATTACATGTAAAAAAATGTGTGATATATTATTGACTTTTTTTTTTTTTTTTTTTTTGAAATTTCATAAGTGTTAACATATAAAATAATAAAAAATAGTTGTTTTTAATTTTCTTTTTCTTTTTCTTTTATCTATGATTTATTTGATTTTCTTCTATTTTTTTTAAATCATGCACTATATTTTCTTCTAATGAAATCTTCAAAATCAAGTTATGAATTTATCTCTTTAATTATCACAAACTTCTTTATGATTATGGTCTATTTTTTTATAATAATTTCTAACAATAATTCATAGTATTATATGGATTTATCATATATTTAGTTTTTTTTATACAAATATATTTAACTATTTTATGTATTTGTACTTTTTAAGTTTGAGAATTAAATCATAAATAAATATTTATAAATACATTATTTTTTTCACTTCGGACCGTGGACGCTGCATAACAATAAGTTTCAGTGACAAATCTACACATGATTTCTGTTTCATTACATGAATATATTCCTTCGGGTTTTGTGACTTTCATCGGATTTCCAAGATCTTTTGTAAAATTTAAATAAAACAAAAGAAATATTAATTTCAGTTTAATCTTGATGAATCCTAATATACAGTGATATTTTAAATATAGAATTAGGATTTTGATTTTTCAACACCCATTTTAATTTTCTCACAATTCTTACATAATTTTCCCCCCTTTTATTCATATATTCATTCCTTTTTTATCACTTCATATGTCACCTATCTTTTATTTATTTATTTATAAATTTCTCTCCTTCTCACTCTATGCAGCATTACAGTATAAAACTATATTATGCTACCAACCAATCACAAATTATTATTATACATACATATATATACATATAATTTTTGAATAAATTTTGTAAAAGTTAATAAATTTATTATACTCGACAATTTATAATCGGATGTTGGTGTAAAAAACAATTATTTATCAATGTATATATTTTTCTATGATAAAAGAAAATGTTTTACAGTTCGTGCAGGTTATCTCTTTCACATGAAACAACCAGGTAATTAATTTGTATTGGCTTTTGATAATTTATTTTTGTGTAGGTACCTGTTTATATAGCAGAGGTATCACCTCGAACCATGAGAGGTAGTCTTGGAGCCGTGAATCAGGTATTACTTGTTTTTCCTTCTAGTCTTGAATATAAAAAATAAATAAATAAAATTACACTAACGAAAAATATCACATAACACTATTTTATTTTATTTAAAAATAGCTACTCTTTAAAAATTTATCTTTATTTAAAACTTGATATCAAGAATAAAAATAACATGTAAAATATAATCTCTATTAAAAAATTAAAATGATATCATAAAATAAAATTAATTGAAATTCTTTTTATTTGACATGAAAATATTTTACTGATATTTGGAGAAAAAAATACTTTTCAATTAACTATTGATATATATTTATGTTCTTTTCCTGTAGCTCTCAGTTACTATTGGGATCATGTTCGCTTATCTATTGGGCCTTTTTGTCAACTGGAGAGTGCTAGCAGTTCTAGGTGAAATTTTAACTTTATATAGATGCATCCAATGCAAAATGAGTAATGCTATTTACATAATAAATTTTTAGAACAATTTATATAGAGACGTGGTATAGATAAACTAATTAATTCATATAATATAATAATATAATATTATTTATGTTTATTCCCATCGTATTTTCTCTCTTAATTGTACAAATTATTTTACAATTTAATGTACAAGTATCATTTCTCACACACAAAAATTAAAAGCAAAATGTGAAATAAGTAAGATGTTGAAAAGACATAACCCACAAAAATTATTGTAATATTTTCTTTTTTATATATTGGGCCTATTTGAGCCCATGAGTCATTGTCATATACCGAGATTAGGTCATAAGAAACTACCAAATGCAAACGAAGCTTAAAAAATTAAAAGCAAGAATCTCCACATAAATTAAAATCAAACACTATATTTCGAGGTCCAAGCTTAAGATATTACTTTATCATCAAATAGGGATCGGTTTGTGCACATGCATCTAGACATTGTAGATCACTTGTATAGAAATTGAATTAAATATGCAATTTTACACCTTAAAGTACAATTCTTTCTTTTTAAGCTAATGAAAAATGAAGATGAATTATTTATTAATATAATTAATGAAGCATTCTGTTTTTTTTTTTTTTTTTGCAGGAATTATTCCCTGCTCAATACTAATACCCGGGCTATATTTCATTCCAGAATCTCCTAGATGGTTGGTATGAATCCTACGAAATGTATTATATATATATATGCCTTATTTACGTGCAACCTTAATAATTTAATTTATCATATTTTTGCGAGAAAAGAGACACAATGTCTAGGGGATGATAGTTGAAATTATATCCTAATTTTGTTACATCTTTTCTTCGAATTTTAATTTTTTTCTTTTTCAATGTCTAGGCCGAAATGGGGATGATAGAAAAGTTTGAAGCTTCTTTACAAACTTTACGTGGACCCAAAGTTGATATTACTATGGAAGCACAAGAAATTCAGGTACTTTATCACTCACACACACATTACTCAAAAGCCAATATTGCTCTTCACATTGAGCAAACATTTTAATGAGATATATTTATCATGTTAGGGATCTTTGGTGTCGAATAACAAGACAGATACTATACAGTTTGGAGATCTCAAGAGGAGAAGATATTGGTTTCCTTTAATGGTAGGTATATAAATGATTCCATTTTAGTGTTCTTCAATGGTCATTTTTCCACTTTCTTTGTCACCATGTTTATAGAAATGGAAAAATCATTTACGCATCCTTAAATTTTAATTTTATCCTAATTAATCTTTAAATTTTATCTTATTTATAAATAGGCATCATAACCTTGAATTTGTTCCAATTAATCCATAATCTTTGCTTCTTTTACAAATAAACACCTTCAATATTAATTTCATTTTAATTGATATTTACCATTTATCATTTTTACAATTTTTTTTTTATCAATTTCAAGTTTAATTATTATTTTAAATATCAATCATTCATTAATATTTTTTTTTTCAGTTATTTTTCAAATATAATAAAAATATGAATGTAGAAAAAAAATAAGAAAGTGAAAAAAGATTAAAAAAAAAGTCTTTATTTTTTATAACTTCAATTTTATGATTTTATTATACAAAAGTAATATATAAAATAAATTAATAAATGATTGTGATTTAAAATAAATAAATGATTGATATTTCTTTTTATTAGTAGTTTAATCTCAATATAATATGAGAGATGAGTATAAACAATATATGATAAGAGATAGAATCTAAGAATTAATTAAGATTAAATTGAAATCAAAGTGTTTATTTGCAAAAATAAAAAAGTTTCAGATCAATTATAACATAATTAAAGTCCACAATGTCTATTTGTTAATAAGATAAAATTTAAGAATTAATTAAGTTAAAATTAAAGTTTGTAGTGTCTATTTATAAATGTGGTGAAGTTTAAAAGGATTAAATACTTCTTTCCTTTAAAAATTAAATCCTTGTGACTTCTAGTGATAGAGTGCATGCACCATATATGTAGGTAGGTATTGGACTACTTATGCTCCAGCAACTTACTGGCATCAATGGTGTTTTATTCTATTCTAGTAAGATATTTTCAAGTGCAGGTAATTAATCATTTGGATAATTTTTCTTTTAATTAATTTTCAATTTTGTCACGCTTTGTAAATTAGTTATTAGTGAGCAAATGACCCATCTAAGTTAAACCTCTTTTTTTGTGTCATTTGTGTTTTGAATTGTAATGGTATAGGAATTTCATCCAGCGACAGTGCTACATTTGGACTTGGAGCTATGCAGGTCAAAATCAACATAAGCTCTAGAATAAATATTGCCTTCATGTGAGTAACAAATTTTCGAACTCATAAATTCTCACTATTAATTATCTTTCTTAATCTTACATATGCAGGTTGCAATGACAGGGATTGCTACTTCGTTAGTTGACAGAAGTGGAAGAAGGATGCTTCTTATAGTGAGTATATATATATATGAAGATAAATTTGCTTCTCATGCACATCAATATATATCCACCACCACCTATTTTATCAATAAAATTGTAAAGTTTAATTTTCATTAATTGTTTTGCAGCTATCCTCCTCTATAATGACGCTTAGCCTCCTCCTTGTAGCTACTGCATTCTATTTGGAGGTTGGTAATACTATTCATTCAACGTTAATTAGTTAATTAATAATAATGTTTATTGGCGTTGTTTTATTGCATCCAGGGAGTGGTATCAGATGATTCTAGCCTTCATCAAATGTTGGCAATGCTCTCTGTTATGGGGCTTGTGGTATGATGTTATTGATTTGGCAGGTTTCTTTCTTTAATTTGGTGTTTCAAATTTTCATTACTTTGTGAATTTGATGATCAAGTACGTGTTTATGTCCAGGCTTTGGTCATTGGATTTTCTCTGGGCATTGGACCAATTCCCTGGATTATAATGTCTGAGGTATGCACAAAGACCTATTTCCTCTTACACTATTTATTGATTTAAGTATGCTCTAGGAGTTGGATCATGTCTTTTATACTAATATATATCATTTATAGTACCATATTAAGAGAGAGAGATGCACAAAACATTTTAAAGAGGCTATTGATAGTTAAAAGTAATCTTAAATTATAATATAAATTGTATAAAATATAATTATACATTAAAAATATTTATTTATTAAAAATTTAATTATAATATTATTTATATATTTAAAAATATTTATTTATTATAAATTTGTTATATAAAATAAATATTTGTCTCCATCATATAATTTATATATTAAAAGTTATTTATTTATCATAAATTTTAATCATATAAAATAAGCTTTTGTCTTTTATATTGTATTGGTTAAAATACTAGTTTATCATAAAATTAAATAGAAAGAAAATAACGAATAACAATAGGAATTAATCGAAGATGCATAAATATATAATATGATTGGAAATTTGATAACAATTTTAATAAAATGATGAAAGTAATTGTACTTTTTGATTCCTATGCAACAATTAGTTCTATGTTTGGTATATAGAGAGGAGAGAAAAAACTATAGAAAGATAGAAAAAATTACTTTTCATAATATTGCATTATTTCCATTGTTTGATGAGCTTTAAGAGGGATCTTGGGTCCTCACATTAAAATTAAAAGTGTCTTTCTTTTCAAATTGGAAAGAAAAGAGGTACAGATGTTAACTTTATATATATATATATATATATATATATATATATATATAAAAGAGAGA